AAAAAAAAAAAAAAAACTTACTGTACTGATTTTTTGTTTTCCTGTGTATTGACAAACACTAAAACAAGAGAAAACAAAAGCACAACAAAAAAAAAATTCTTGCATAAGCTTAGAATACTAAGAACTTTAATGCATTAGAACATGTCTTGATGTTAACAGTAAGGGTTCATATCTCATTTTACATATTCCATTTATACCCTATTTGATATCTTTATAGATATAAATGGGCTTCCAGCTGGTCTTATCTAGCTGGGTTTTTGACGGTGGTCCAAATGAATGACCTATAACTTCAATCTTTCCTTTCCTAGTATCTCACATATGCACACTATTTTTTGTAGGTCCCTGGGCACTTGGACATTTGGTTCCATCTACTTTTTTATTTGGATACTTGGTTTCATCTACTCTTTTATTTTCAGTTCACAAAGGAGCTTTTCCTGGCTTATGTATAAGATATTATGGTTAAGATTTTGAATCTAATTTTTAAGTATCAAACCAAAAAACCAAAACCCAAACAACTGAGAGAGCCCTCATTTTAGTCCACAAACTTCTTTCCTAGTATTATGGACTTGACTGTATCTCCCAAAAACTTCATATGTTGAAGTCCTAAATTCTAGCACTTCAAAATGTGCTGTATTTGGAGATTGGGTCTTTACAGAGGAAATTAAGTTAAAATGAAGTAAAACTGATATCCTTACAAGAGGAAACTTGGACACAGATATTACAGAAGAAAGATGACGTGAAGACACAGGAAGAAGAAGCCCTTCTACAAGCTAAGGACACATCCTCTCCTCTTGACACTCAGAAAACAACCAGCCCTGCCGATACTTTGATGTCAGCCTTCCAGCCTCCAGAACTGTGAGAAAATAAATTTCTGTCCTATAAGCCACACAGTCTGTGTGGTATTCTGTTATGACAGCCCTAGGAAACTAGGACCCCGAAAGCATCATTTTATTTTTCAATGTTAGCACTTTGTAAACTAAAAATAAGCTTTACAAATATTAAAGTGTCATTATAATTGTTTGATGAGAACAATGATGTCGAGTGGTCTTTGAAGTTTCTCAGACTTAAACACTTATAGCTAGTTGGAAGGGAATATTCCAGTCTCAAACATATGGAAGGTAAAGTTGTTTTGTTTCTACCCTTGGGCAGGAGTGCACGGGTTACCCCACATGCACCTCCTTTTGATGCTTCTCTACCAATTCCTCTTAAAGTAGGGTCACGCACTGGGGTGGTTCTGGGATGTAATTTGTTTCAGTGCACTGAAACTACAGAGTTAATTGCCACTAGTTAAAATGTAGGAAATAGCCCATGCAACATAGTGAGACCTTGTGTCTATAAAACTTTCTTTTAAAAAGCTGGACGTGGTGGTGCACACCTATATTCTTAGCGACTTGGGATGCTGAGATAGGAAGATTGCTTAAGCCCAGGAGCTAGAGGCTACAGTGACCCATGATCATGGCACTGAACTTCAGCCTGGGTGAGAGAGTGAGACCCTGTCTCAAAATAAAAATAAAATAAAAATGAAATGCAGGAGAGCAAACATAAAAATTTCAATATTCAGGATGCTTAGAAGAATTAGGAGATTTGGCTGTAGTCAGCTCACTCTACCTCCATAGCCATATGAGCTAAAACTGAGCAGGGCTGTTTCAGGTAGAAGTATGCTCTCTCTTGGCATCACCACAGTTTCTATTCCTTTATGCTGTTTGTCTGGTCCCTGAATAATCTCAGATCTAAGGTGATGTCATCTGGGCTTTTCAGTTATGACAGGTATGGTTAGTTAGGATGCCCATCTATATTTAGTATCTCCTCATAGGTAGCTTAAAAGTGGTACTCCCGACCCCCCACATCTACCTCACTCATATCCCAGCACTGACTGGATTATCGTCCACACAATCGATTCTAAGAGGGCATTCCAAGAGGGACACAGGTATTAGATGCAAAAAGAGATCCTTCATCAAATAAGTTTAAGAAATGTAGAGTTAAGCAATGAAAAACGTGTTTCCTTGATACAGAATTTCTCAGAGCCTTTAATATTTTAATGTAGTAGGCAACAATTTCCAAAATTATTTGACCACCCAACTTTTGTTGGGGAGCATTTTCAACCAACTGTATTCAGCAAAACTTTAACCCAAGCAAGCCCTTTTCCCATACAAAATAAATTTTGTTGTTTCTGCTACATGGATTCCTATAGTAAATATGGCATTTTAGATACACATTCAAACAGAGTCTTAAAAAAGAATAAAATTTTGTATATTTCATTCAGAATATTAATTTTTCAATTTTTTTGGATGTGATATGTGCAGAGAAGAGCAACACGATGGATCTTTTGAATTCAAACATAGTTTTTATAATTTTCAGTAATCAAAATGGTAATTAATAGAAGGATACACACTTATTTTCAGTTGGATCTAAGACATCATCTCATGTTTTACTTTAAACTTGCTAATGTGGAGCATTTGCATAATTAATTTTAAAGCCTGATATTTGCCAGTAATGGTTAAAATATGTGTCACAGTGTGCCTTTCTTATAAATGGCTTCGCAAGTACACTGTAATGCCATCTCGAAACATACTGATAGCATATGAAACAATACTAATAATTTTTCTTTCAGTTGGTATTATTTCTCTCAGAAATTGCAGTGGGCTTTCCAGTAAAACCAAAGCAAGGGAGAGAGGGGACAGCCTGTCTTTTCTTTGTTTTGTTTTGTTTTTTTGTTTTGTTTTGTTTTTTGTTTTTGCATTTAGGAACAGGCTTCGCTGTATTCCCTAGGCTTCGGTGTGGTGTTACCATCACCACTCACTGAAGGCGCAAACTCATGGGCTCAATGGTTCTTTCCACCTCAGCCTCCCAGCTAGCTGGGACTACAGGCACATGCTACTATGTCTGGCTTTTTCAATTTGTTTTTGTTTTCTGTTGTTGAAACAAGGTCTTGTTATGTTGCCCAGACTGTTCTCAACCCCCTGGCCTCAATTCAACTTCCCACCTTGGCCTCCCAAAGTGTTGGGATTGTAGGCATGAGCCATTGCACCCAGCCTTGTTTTCTGCAAACTGCAAAATTCAAAGACTGATGATTGTTTAATTCCATGGCAAATATATTAGATTTGTAACAGTCCTTCCAAGTCTCAGCAACTTTGGGAACATCAAATGTTGTCACATGAGTAGTCTGTGCTATTAACATTGGTGCATGATATGGACATTTTAAAAATATATTATGCTTGCTCAAAATAAACCATTCATTTATTCAACAAAGATTTATAAGTGACTATTCCATGCCAGGTACTGTTTTAGTCCGAGTGATACAGGGGTAGACAAAACAGACAAAAATTCCTGTCCTTGTGAAACTTTTATTCTAGTAGGGCAAACAAAACTGAGAGATAGTATAGATGATGTTAGAAGGTAAAAAGGAATATGGAGAAACATGAAACAAAAAAAAGAAAGCTGTAGGCTGTTAGGGAGGGTCAGATTAGGTCTGAGAAAGTGGTGATGTGTCTGACTTTGGACAGCGAGCTACATATGTACTTGAGGAGAGTGCTTTGTGTAACAGGGACTCAGTACAAAAGGCCTGGGGCACCAACGTACTTGACAAGTTTGAGGAAGGGCAAAGAGGCCAGAATGGCTGTTGCAGAGTGGGTTAGGGGGAGCGTGTGGTAGGAGATGAGGTCAGAACAATGACTGGGGCAAACTGTGTCGGGCCACGAAGGCCGATTTTGGCTCTTACTCTGGGTCATAGGGAACCACTTCAAGAAGTGGCACGTGAGGCAGAGAGAAAGAATGATTCCAAGGCAGTTCATCTAAGCAAATGGCAGGACAGAATTGTCAAAACTGAGACGGGAAACACATTTAAGGACATCTGAAATTCAGATGTGGCTATGTTGAATCTGGGATGTCTGCCATATATTCAAGCAGAGGTACTGAATGGGCAGCTGGATATATAGGTTCTGAAGTTCGGGGAGAGGTTCAGTATAGACCCATAGCTTTGGGAGGTATCAGCACACAGATGGTATGAAACTAGACAAAATCACAAAGCAAAAACATAGAGAAGAAAACAAAATGTTGAGCTCTGGGACGCTCCAACATAAATAGAACAATTAGAAGAGAAGGAAGCATGAATGGAGAGTGAGGAAATGGCCACTAAGATTGGGAGAAAACCAAAAGGTGTTGTACTCTATAAACCAAATAAAGTCGTTTCAAGGAGTCATCAGTAAGCTTTGTCAACTGCTGCAGACAGGGCAAGTAAAGGTGAGTTCTGAGCACTAACCACTAGGTTTACTGACCTGGTGATTATGGTCATATAGTCTTGAACAATATTATCTTTATTAAGTATGAGTTGATGTGACAATCTATGACACTCTGTGTACCTCCATGCCCTCATGTCTTTTCTAAACAAAGTAGCTCCAGGCATTTCCCTGAATATGGGTATGTATTTTGATTTGGGTTGAATTACCTTACATTCTTGAGATACAAGCAAGTGATTAAGTGATTGTCCTCTAACCCATAAGCAGCCTAAGGTTGCTGGACAACCAGTACAGTGATCTAATCCTTTAACTGCCTAATAAGGATGAAGAGTCATTAACTGTATGGTAACTAGTTGGAGAGTAACTAATTGAGCCAGACTGTTAGTGAGACAGGATATGAGAGACAGAGAAAAGGGAGCTAGCAGAAGCCAGTTGTCCACAAATGCCTCCTAATTCTAGATGTAGCACTCCATGCAGTCCCTGCCACAGCAATGGCACACAAAGATGAAACCTCCTGGTCTAGTACTTTATCATTTCACATGATGGCGGCACAATGTGGCAATATACAGATTCGTTACGATTTTCCAAATGCTCCTCACCTAACTTTAGCCTCAAATGCATTATTCGTTGGCTACAGTCTAGATTCTAGATGAATCACTTCATTTGAATAATTTAGCAGAAGGGGAGGTCAGATATAAAAGGCAAAAATAGAAATGATCCAGGCGTTGGAACATGCAGGAGCAAAGGCATGCAAAAGGGCAATGTGAAGCTTTTTATTTTTTTGAGACCAGTTATTATTCTATTGCCTAGGCTGGAGTGCAGTGGTGCAATCTTGGCTCATTGCAACCTCCGCCTCCCGGGTTCAAACAATTATCGTACTTCAACCTCCCAAGTGGCTGGGATTACATGCATGAGCCACCATGCCTGGATCATTTTTGGACTTTTAGTAGAGATGGGGTTTCCCCATGTTGGCCAGGCTGGTGTCAAACTGCTGACCTAAAGTGACCCACCTACCTCAGCCTCCCAAAGTGCTGGGATTACAGACATGAGACAGCATGCCCGGCCAGTGTGAATCATTTTTAGTTATTAAAATGGGTATGAGGCATATTTGTTTGTCGAGAAGTAGGGAAGTGTAGGGAGTAACATCTTGGGATATGGTTGGAGAGGAGGAGGTCAGACTGTGGAAGACCTTAAATGTACTTCAAGACAAGAGGCCTGACTCTCCTCTGCAGATAAAGACACTATTATTTACCAAGATTTTAAGGAGGTCTCGATAGGTAATACTGCTAGAACATTAACAGCAGAGAGCCCTGACCATCCTAAGCTTGAACGGCAGAGAAAACAGGATGGGTACCCAAAATTGAGAGAGTAACAGGAATGATGTGTGGAGATATGCAGTCAATCTGAGGGCACTTGGTAAGGGAAGGGGCCAGGGGAACAACGTCTTGTAGGTACTTCCTTCCTACCCTCTGATCATCTGCCAGTGCCTCCTGCTGATGGAACCCATCAGGAAGCCAGAGGGCAAGGAGTCTGCTGAAGTGTCCCACATGGGTTCGACTCCCAGGTTCCAGAACAGACTATAAGCAAAACAAAATGGGAACGTGTCACCTCACAGCCATGCTCTCAGAAGAGTGATCTAGAAAAACGAAAAAGACAAGACAAAACAAAGACAAGACAAAACAAGGAGACCAGTGTTTTTCTGGCTCTGAAATAACTCAGCAACCCAGGCACTCATCAATGGCAAGTCCAAGTGAGTAGGCTTACGATTCCTCACCTTTCCATGTTTATGCAACTGAGTAGGATGCAGGAGTGTAACCAACTCATTATCAAAACAGCATCTCATAGACACACGCCTATGTAGCTTTAAAACAAACATGGGAGAATGTCAAGTTCTTCCACTAAGTGGGTTGGGGAGTAGAGGCTACTAGTATGAAAGAATATCAAGACACCGGATAATGGGAAGAGGGGAGAAGGTCAGTAGCTGTAGGGTGTAAATCAAGGGAGACTTTCAAATTACAGGGCAAACCATGTAATTCTAGGGAAGAGGGAAAACTGAGGAAAGGAAGAAATGTAATAAGAAGCCACCTTCATCTGAGACAAGGGGAGATAATAAGCAAAAACAGAGAGCGAAACGGGGGTGGTTTAAAAAAGTTATGTGTGGGAGTTTCTATCTTCTCAGAGAAGCCTTGAAGCAAGATCTTGGGCTAAGAAGGTAGATAGTGGAAACAGTTATAGAAACTGTTTAGGAGTAACCAAATAAAATAGTTTTCTTAGAAAAGTTAAATGAACTAATGGGCAGGATGTTACGTTTGGCTCCCTATTAACATCAAACTCTTAACAACTAAATCCTATGACCAGGTAGTAACTTTTTTTCCCAAGTATTTCCCTCTAAGCATCACAATTTTTAATTCTGTTCCACAGCTGTAGACTTCTAAAGGACTGAATTGCATAATTAGCAAATGTTTATTACTTACAAATGACTTAATTAATGTTAGGAGCCAGGAAATTAACCTCAAATATAATTAATCCCAAATGAAAAAAATTATTAAACAACACAATTATTAAAGTGTGTGGCAAGTATATATTAAGATCACACATATATACTTGATATGATACGAGCATAACATAGAATCTTCACTTAACATGTCTTACAGTCTACCAGTTAGAAATAATGTGTATGACTCTACAAAGACCAACTTTAAATTTTAAAAATACAATAAGACTATATATAGTTTTTAAATTTTAAAGTTGATCATATAATATGCATATATATGCGCATATGCACATCTTTGGTAATTTTAGTGATTAGGAAATTAATCTCAAATAAAAATGATTTAAAATGGTTAAAAAGTATAAGTATATATTAAGATAAGCATATTTAAAATAATTGATATGATAGAATGATAATATGGAAATCCTTACTTAAAATGTCTTAGTATCTAGTCTACCAATTAGAAATAATATGTGTATTACTATGCAAAGATCAACATTAAATTTTATAAGTACACTAAAACTATGTATCTTTGGTAATTTTAGTGATTAATGCTTTAATTAAGAGATGAGGTACATGCAGACACATGCAATAAACTGACATAATTCATCATATTGAAAGAATAACATGATGAATGCATATGTATATTGTAAATTATACAACACACATGCAAATGATATACTCATTATCTCACAGAGG